TCTATATTAGAATATTTTCTCTGAGAATATAGGTTGTTAAATGTTCTTTGTGTCGTGTGTGATGAGACAAAGTTAATTAAAACATAAATTAGGTTCTCTTAAATGCAAACTGAACTTACAATTGAAGGGAAATAAAATGATGATGAGTTTGGTGCCATCTAGACTGAATTTATGTTGATGGAAAGTGTCTCAGTGACTTGAATTAGTAAACCAAACACATAAACTAAACTATAATGACTCGTATTCAATAGAACTTATCAGTCCTTGAGTGTTTTCCTTTATAATAAGTTTGTTTGAACTTATGAAATCACCAAAACTGAACTAAAACACCAAAATGGCTTCCAACTTGAACTTTTCCTCTTCTCAGTCCTTTACCAATCTCTTGTTTAGCCAAGAAGATAACCCAACACCTCTGAGTCCTTCACAGCCTCCTTTTTCTGAATCCCAAACACCCACAGCCTTAGCTAGGGAACCTAGAGTGAGATGGAGTGTTCCTGAAGAGAAGGCACTTGCAAGTGCCTGGCTCAACACATCCAAAGACTCTGTTGTGGGGAATGAGCAGAGATCAGCTGCCTTTTGGGCTAGGGTTGCAGCATATTATGCTGCATGTCCTTCTGTCTCTAAGCTCACTATCCGAGAGGCAAATACTTGTAAGCAGAAATGGCAAAAAATGAGTGAGCTTGTCATGAAGTTTGCAGGCTGTTATGAGTTTGCCTCTCGGACTCCTCGCAGTGGAGAGACTGAAGATGACATTCTTGTGCTGGCCTACAAGCTTTACCATCAGGATCAAAAAACCAAATTCAGTCTTGAGCATGTTTGGAGAATCCTCAAGACTGATCAGAAGTGGTGCAATTGGTGTGAGACCAAACTTCCTGCCAAGAAGAAAGCTAAACTTTCATCTGTAGAAGAAGAGAGTCTCCAAAGGCCTATAGGTGTGAAGGCAGCCAAGGCTTTAGCCAAGTCTAAAGGTAAGGGAAAGAGTGATGGAGGAGCTGACGCTGGTTCTGCTGCTGAACTTCAGCTTTTGTGGGAAGTGAAAGAGAAGGATTTGGCTTTCAAAGAGAGACTCTCCAAGCAGAAGCTACTTGACAGCCTTCTTGGAAGGTCTGATGGATTGAGTGAGATGGAAATTGAACTTAAGAACACTCTTATCAAAGAGTATCTTTCTGGAAGCAATGTGTTTGTTTCTGAGAATGAATATTCTGGTCTTTAGGTATGTGTTGTTAGTTAAGTTGTTTTGTTTACTTAACATGTAGTATTATCTGATATTCTTTGCTTGTTTATGTGCAGGACCTCCTCTTGGAAGCTAGTGATGTCGGCAAGGAATGGATTGAGTGGTTCTGTTGCTTTAATGTCATCTTCTATGACTTTTTTTATTCGGATAGACCATATGCCATCAGAAGCTAGTTGTGTTTTGTATTTTAGTAGTAAAATGTATGGTCGGCAATGTATTGTTATTTTCTATGGTCAGAGCTAGTTGTGTTTTGTATTTTAGTAGTAAAATGTATGGTCGGCAATATATTGGTCAAAAGCTACTTGTTTTTAGTGTATGTGTATTATTGTGTTCTCATATTTCTCAATGTATTATATATATAAGTTGTTGTGTTCTCATATTTCTCAAAACAATTCTTCTCCAAAACAATCTTCCTCTCTCATATTTCTCAATACAATTCTTCTAAAACAAGTCTTTGTTTCTTTCTCTAAAAACAAGTCTTTGCTTCCTTTAATTTTCTAAAAACAAGTCTTTTTTATTTGTTTTCCTTCTCAAGTCACACATCTCTTTTAATTGTGAACTTCCCTAAACACAAAATTTCTTTTTATTTCTTGTACGTTTTGCTTCTTAAATAATAATGGCATCACATTCTAATGATGATGACACTTTGGAGGAGAGGTTTGAAACATGTTTTGAAGATGGTTTAGAGAATTTCAGTAGACGTGTAGCGGGGAAAAAAAAGAAAAAAAGGGCTGCTAATATAGAGAGAGATCACGAAGAAGGAAATATTCGATTATGGAACGATTACTTTTCGGATGACCCCGTTTACCATGATCGCATGTTCCGACGACGATTTCGTATGACGAAGCCGTTGTTCCTTCGTATTGTTCAAAGTCTTTCTCAATTTCCATATTTCCAACAAAGGGACGATGCTACTGGGAAGCAAGGACTATCTGCCATACAGAAATGTACTGCTGCAATTAGGCGTTTGGCATATGGTCTTGCAAACGATGCGATGGACGAATACCTCCGCATGGGCGCAACCACTGTGAGCCAAGCACTAGAGAATTTTGTAGATGGCATAATAAATTTATTCCAAGACGAATATTTGAGGCGGCCTACACGTGAGGATCTAGAACGGTTACTTCATTCTGGAAAGGAACGCGGATTTCTGGGAATGGTAGGAAGCATTGACTGTATGCATTGGGAGTGGAAGAATTGTCCTACGGCTTGGAAAGGACAGTATTCACGCGGACATGGAAAACCCACTATTGTTTTAGAGGCCGTGGCATCACAAGATTTATGGATTTGGCATGCTTTTTTTGGGGCTCCAGGTACGTGTAATGATATAAATGTTCTTGACCGCTCACCGGTGTTTGATGATATATTAGAAGGTCGAGCTCCACGACTCACGTACGAAGTCAATGGACATCAATACAAAATGGGTTATTACCTCACAGATGGTATATATCCAAAGTGGGCAACATTCATCCAATCAATTACCCGCCCACAAGGACCGAAAGCATCATTATTTGCTAGTTGTCAAGAAGCAGTGAGAAAAGATGTCGAGCGTGCTTTTGGAGTCTTGCAGGCTCGGTTTGCTATTATTCGAAACCCAGGTCTGTTTTGGGATAAAGAGCGAATGGGCAAGATAATGAGAGCATGTATCATATTGCACAATATGATTGTAGAAGATGAACGAGACGAAGATACTCAGTTCGATTTATCTGATTTCGTAGAAGGCGAAGGAAGCGGGACTTCTCAAGTAGATAACTCTTTTTCTACAGAGACAGCTACAAATGTGAACAATTTGATGGCCAATCGAGCTCAAATACGTCATGAACAAACACATCGACAATTGAAAGAAGATTTGATTGAACATATTTGGCAAAAATGGGGCCAAGGTAATTGATTACAACCGACTAAATTATTTTTTTCATCATGTTTTTTCAGTTTTTTTTGAATTTTATGTTTTATTTTGCTTAATTATATTCTACTTTTTTTTTATTATAATATTACCTTTTGTAATCTTATGTTTTAATATATTAATTTTTGATTTTGCAAATTTTTTTTTTTTATGATACTTAAACCGGTCTCACCAATGCAAACATATTTAGTAGGAGTATCATAAAAAATCTCAAACAATAAACAAACATTATAAATAATACTAAAAAATTCTTAATGATACTAAATGGATCTCACCCATGTACATGCTCTAACAGTCTAAAAATCAAACCGGATTAAACCAAACCGGATAATAAAACAGAATCTAAATATCAAAGAAAAGAATAAATTTATTACCTGAAGCATTTGTTTAGCGAGATCAATGGAGATTAGTCCAGCACTACATCCCATTCCACCAAGATTATAGCTCAAAATGTTTCCTCTAAGCTTATACTTATTCACAATCATAGCAGAAAGTGACGGCGTTGGATTAAACAAACTACAATTCACCACAAGGATTCCAATATCTTTAGGTTTAACACCGGTCTTCTCAAGAACCGCGTCAATAGCTCCGAACATAACTGTCTCTGCCTCCTTTCTCGCTTCTTCCATACAAGGATTAGGAGGGACACGAAGAAGGGCTTCAGGGAAGTAAGTTTTTTGACCTAGACCCGATCTTTCAAGGATCTTTTGTTGGAAAGCTAGGTTGTCTTCTGTGAAGATACCTACACGTTGAGATCTGTCCATGAATGTTTCTCGAGTGCAGATCAGTGAAGGGTCAGGTTTGTAACATGAGAAGTCGAGGAGGAAGACACGGCGAGGACGGGTGGTGAAGTAAGCGGTGGAGAGAGAGATTAAGAGTCCGGTGGCTAGTGTGGCGGAGAGGAAATGGAAACGGAGTATGTTGTAGAGGAGAGAGAGGTCGTTGATGGTGAAAGAAGAGAGGTTAGCGATTGTTGCGGCGAGGAGAGGGAGGAGGAGGATGTAGAGAGCGTTGGAGATTAGGTAATGGTAACCGAGTTTTACGTATTTGAGACGAACGGATAAGAGAAAGTTTGGGAGGTTGTTTGGGTTAGGGTTTGGCTCGGCGTTTGTGACATGGACCGGGACTGGCCGGTGAGTTTGGTTTTGGTTATGGCTCATCGTGAGAATGAGAAAATGTTTAGGATGAAGAATGAGATGAGGATTTGTAGAGAAGAGAAGTGTCAAGTGAAAGATTTGTTTCTCTCTTTCAAAATTTGTTGTGTGAGAGAGGAGAGAAGAGAATGGCCTAAAAAGTTGGAGAAAATTTGAGAATTTAATGGGAAATTTTGAGTGAGAGAGAAAGAGAGAGAGAGAGAGACTAGGCTATTAAATGTAGTTAGGGGAAATGGGAAATATTTAAGGACAAAAATATGGTTTTTTTTAAGAAATATACAAAAAAAATAATGTTAGCAAATAAATTGTTCAAACCCTTGTTTTAAAAATCGCTAGGTGTTAGTCGGGCGTTCGGGGTGCGCCTAGCGCCTAGCGAGATAATTGGAGATTAAACGGAGATTAATCGGGATTAGTTTTTAATATTTTTATTTTTATACATGTATATATACTAAATTTTGGAGCATGTGTTAAAAAATTAAAATGGTCTAGTGGCACATGGTGACTCTCACACGTACAACCATCACGGTTCGACTCTCAACATTTGTGTTTTGTCATTTTTTTTTATTTTTTGGTTTAATGAAACTGAAATGACCGAACTACCCTCGTCTTCTTCCTCAGATCTGTGCGACTGCAACCCTAATTTTTGCCGTCTCTTTTTTTTCCTCACGATTATTATTGTTTTCTCTTGTTTCTTAAGTGATGTTTACCCAAATATGATAGATCTACAACCTAAAAACCGATTTAGAACTTCAATTTCATCAAAAGTGAGTTTTTCTAAAAATTTCCGATTTCTGAGCGATTTGATCTAAATCGCGGCGGAAGTGTTCCGATCAGCGCCTAGCCGGACGAGTAATCGGCTAGGCGGCCGATTTTTAGAACAAGGGTTCAAACTAGTAAGCCATCAAAAACATTTTTTGTTCAAACTAGTCAAGCAATTGTTTTAGGATCGTACTAGATTTTTTTAATCCATAAATTATTTAATATTATTATAATTTTTAAAATTATGATAAAAATGGTAATTTAGAATTAAACTGTGGAATTATTTATATTTTCTAAATAAAAAGGCTGTTACTCTTTTTTAATCAACAAAAAGGCCATTTACACTCAAAACATTTTACTTTGAGAATCTTAAATTTCTATTACATATGGAAAACGCTTTGTGCACGATTTATATAAATTTAACATCAAAAGGAAAATGAAAGTATGTTTTAAAAATAAAAACATCGAAACTTTTCTTTAAAAAATGGATAAAATAAGTATTACTATGTAGAGAGGGAAGATGCAACTACCCCAACGAAGCTTTTAATGTTTTTAGACAGTTGAGATTTGACACCTAAGAGACGGCGATGACTTTTATCCAATTGGGGGCTTTAAATTTGGCCGCGTACTATGAAACTTACTCTTTTACCCTTACGTTGACCCGTAATTTTCGAAATTACCCTTTTTTGTTAACAACTTGAAGACACTTACGTACGTGGCCGTGTGAACTTGTGTAATAGAATGTTCAATCATTTTTTCTTTTAGAATGTGCAATCATATTATTCATATATAGATGGAAAATTAAGTGAACCGAAATAAAAGTTTGTTGAACTAAATATGAGTAAATGTGTGGGTTATTGCCACTAAATTAGTTCATCTACAGTAAAACCTCTATAAATTAATAATATTGGGACCATGATATTTTACTAATTTATAGTGATATTAATTTATCTATAAGTATTAATAAGTATTAATTTATAGTGTAAATTAATATTTATTAATTTATAGAAAGTTTGTTTCAATTCTGAAAACTTTTTTTTAAAAAATACGAGATAAAACAATGTGATCTAAATAAAATTAATATTTTGGATGTTATAAATTTTATAGTTTTAGCCTTAAACACTTAATATAAAATAATTTATTTTGACAATGAATAACAAAGATTATAGAATTCACATATACAAACGATATAAATAAGTTAAAATTCACAAATCGTGACTTCTATTGTTGTATTTTAAAAACATATACGACTATTAAAACAAAAATTATGCATATTCAAAATTTGAAAACTTACAAAAACTTTTGGCTATTTTTATGAAAAACACTAAACTATTATATATATATACATATATATATATATATATATGCAAATTTACATGATTATTAATTTATGATATTATTGGGACTATATTTTTACATAGGAATTTCAAAAAACTTATTATCTTATCGAATTTGGTTAATTTTTACACTGGCCCGACTTGGGACCGGCCAAATTTATTAATTTATCATGTTTATTAATTTATCGAGTATTAATTGATAGAGGTTCTACTGTATTTCATGTTATTTTGAAAGAAATTGAGCAAGTCTTATAAATACTACTTAAAAAGGTTATTGTAAACAAAAAAATTATCAACCAATAATGAAAAATTATACATGATACAAAAGGTCGTAAAAATTTAATTGTGTTTTTGTAGCAAATAATTTGAAAAACAAACTATAAGAA